GACATGAAATTAGACATGCAAGAAAATTAAATCTCACACGCTTTTGGAACTTTGCTTCTACGAACGACGCTAACTGAAGAGGACATGGTGTTATGCTCCAGAGCTTTTCGGAAGCCTATAATGTCCGGGGAAAAGAGCAGGTTAATCGAAAAGGCTACCCAAAGTCAACACGTGCAGTGAAAAAGTAGCCTTTGAAAAGATTTTCTGAAGTTGCCGAACGGTAGGAAAACTAAAAACTAGTACTCGAGCCTCGCGTCTTCACAACTCGGAAAAGTCTTGCGTGCAACGCTCAAATGCTGTAATAGCCAATATTACCGCTAAGTCACTGAACTTTTGGCTGATTAAATTGGTCAAAGAAGAAAGTTTGATTTTGTGCAATACTCAATTTACTGCGTGTGTAATTTTGAAAGATGTTAAATATTCACCCACCATTTGTTGTGTCAGTTGCTGTGCTGAAAAATTGATATTTATGAGTCACGTGCAGTGACTTTATATCTGATAAAACACCGCCTACTTACAAGGGGAGGTTTTATCGATATAAAGTCACTGCACGTGATGTATTATCGACCATTTGATAAATCATTTGGCTTATGAATTATGAATGAGTTTCTGAGTTAGCTTTGATTGCCTCTGCATTTACAATGGAATTTTGATTAAGGCGTCCGGCCTGTTCTTTCTTTTGTCTTTTCAGCTGTTTTTGCCATGTTAATGCAGTTTCATTACTGTTCCATAAACACTAATCCATACATCTAAATAACAACTAAAAATAATATTTTGGATGTCATATTTACAGGGTTTATTCCCCAGTAAAAAAATTGAGAAACCATTTAATTGTAATTTGTAATTTGGTTTTTACCTTCTAACAGATCTTTACCGTTCAATGAAATTCAGCGATTAGATGCGGGGATTTTCTCAAACATGGCGCAATTGAGAGAATTGTAAGTGTTATCAAATTATCATTGTATTTGTCATTTTGTTATTATTATTTAGTAATAATTATCATAATCATCAATAATTCATTATTGTCGGTATTATGAGAAAACAAAC